TTAATAGAGGACTAAAAAATGAACCCCTTCCCCCACATCAGGCAGGAAAGCTCCTTACTCTGGAGACCTCAGATGGGAAGAAAATAAAAAAAATGGAACAGGGCGTCAGCTTCAAATGCCCTCTGCAAATACAGCCTCCCCATCTCCACACGTTGTCAGAAATAAACCTCATTGCATTGAGTGGGGCTTCGGCCCAGTTATATGTGTTTAGGGTTGATGCATTAACGTTCCGTATTTACAGGCTGGATTCTGTCTATCAGGGGCATCAAATGGGGTGTCCTCTGGATAATGCTGGACTCCAACTCCCGTCTGACCCATCCAGCATGGCCAGGGGTCAGAGAGGATGGGAGCTGCAGTCCGGCAGCTTCCGGAGGGGGCCCCATGGGCTGGGCTGCCCTATACATTTCGCAGGACATCTTCCCTGTGTTCCTCAGCCCCACCCCAAAAGCACAATGCTCCCCCAAGGAGGGTCTTTTCAGCAAAAGCTGCATCTGATTTCTCTCCTGGGATACTAAGAGCTAGAACAACAAATGCCTATGGAATTGACCTCTCTCAAAGATCTGGCAGGACTTTCTCCGGCTCCACTATCAGGGCCGCCAACTACTGACCTGTGCAGCCTGTTCTCCTTTTCCTGCATTTCCCATGGGGTGGTGGCAGATGTCAAAATAAAGACACCTTTGCCGCCCCCCACCTGCCTGAGGGCCACCTCCCCTTGCTCCATCCCCTATATGATGTTGGCGATGTTTGTGTGTCATCATACAAACATCTTCCCTGTGAGTTTCCACTCACCCCATGGAAGGACACAAAAAGTGTCCCATTTGGTCCAGCGCCCAAGAGGGGCCACCCAGACGCCCGTGGGACACCTGCAAGCGGGACCAGTGTGTAAAACCAGCCTCCCCCCCCCCTTGCAGTTTCCAGCACCTGAGATTTAGAAGTCTTCTGCCTCTGGACTGTGGAGGCAGAGCAGAACCGTTGTGCTTCACAGCCTAGTGCTCCATGAATTTGTCCCCTTGTCTTGTCCCCAGCTCAATGGGTGGAGCATGATGGTCTTAATCTAAGGGTCACTGGCTTGAGCACCACGTTGGGCAAAAGATTCCTGCACTGCAGAGATCTGGACTAGGTGACCCTGGCTGTACCGTTCAACTGTGCAATTCCATGATTTTAAGTTGGTTGCCGTCTCTGCCTCCAGTGGCAGTGAGTACCATGGTTCATTTACACGCTCCACAACGAAATGCTTTTTTCTGTCCTGGATCTCCCAACATTCAGCTTTGTTTGGGGGCCACGACTTCTAGCGCTATGAGAATCTGCAACGTGGATATAATGTGTCTCTGTCTCCCTGCCTCCATCATGGGGACCAGAGCAGAGGGTGGGCAGTTTTGTTTGTCCCCTCCTGGGGCAGGAAGCCTCAACAGAGAACTTTCTTGAATTAACAACAACCGGCCATCTGCCTATGTCTTGTGACATAGATAAGGTGTGTGTTCTCCACTGCAAATCAGGTTGTAACCAACATTTCTCCCTCTTTTTTTCTGTGGAATGTGGCACTTTTCAAGAATATTAGCTGGACGTATTCCCTAAATGAATTATCTGGTGTCCAATTAATGCCTCCTTCTGAATGAAGCTTTTTCCACACTCGGGGCATTCATAAGGTTTCTCCTCCGCGTGGGTCCTTTGGTGTTTGATCAGCGTAGCTCACTGAGAAAAGTTTTTCCTGCACTCAGGGCATTTGTGAGGCTTCTCCCCTGTGTGTGTCTTCCGATGTTCAATTAAGTTGCACGGGTGGTTGAAGTTTCTCCCATAATTATGGCACTTGTCCGGCTTCTCCCCTGTGTGGGTTCTCCGGTGTTTGAGTAACGTATCTCTCCCGGAAAAGCTTTTCCCGCAGTCCTGGAATTCGTGAGGCCTCCCTCCCGTGTGGATTTGCAGGTGACTCACCAAACTGGTCCTCTGGCTGAAGCTTTCCCCACAATGGGAGCACTTGTGTGGTTTCTCTTCCATGAGGCCTCTCTGATGGCTCACCCAGATCTCTCACTGGGGAAAGGATTTCTCGTCCTCAGACTATTCGTACGCTTCCTCTCCCATGTGCATCCTCTGCTGCTCAGTCAGGGCGGATCCTCGCTGGAAGCTCTCCCACACATGGAGCATTCATGAGAATGTTCTTCGGCATTCAGCCTCCCCAGACCCAAACTGTGCTGGCCGTTCCTCCCAGGATTTGAGGAGAAGGGCTTTTCTGCTCCAAAGTGCACTGGGCTTTCACTAAAGGGAACTGGACTTCTGGGTGATGGCTGCGTTCATTTGCTCCCTGGTGTCCTTTGGACTCACGCTTTTTGTTATGTACTGAAGTTCTCACCCTGGGCCAGCAGGGGGATACTGTACATAGTTTTTACTCAGGTCCACATATGCAAATAAGGAATTGAAAGTGACATTCAGTGATTGGATAGTTACAGAAAGTTGTTACTGTTGCGTTATAGTGGAGCTCTATATAAGCAGGCTGGCTGAACCCTTCAGTTAAGTTCTGTTCTGGGTCTGTGAATAAACAAGAGCTGTTTGAAGAATCGCTGTGTCGTCTGATATGTTCACCCACAACTTAACACTTTTGCTCTGCAATCTCAGCTAACAAAGAAATGTTCCTTAGAGATATTCCCTCTGGCACAGCTTTCCCTTGGTGGGAATTCTCCATCTTGATCTTTCTCCTTTTACCTGCAGGTGAAACCAAAAACGTTTTTTAAACATTAAGTGTGTGGGAAACCCCTAAGCAGGACCTGGGAACAAGAGCCCCTCCTGGAGGCTCCAGCAACTGCTATTCAGGAGGATTACTGCTTCCAACCACAGAGGCAGAGCATATAACCATTCAAAGTCTTAAGGTAAAGGTAAGGGGACCCCTGACCATTAGGTCCAGTCGTGACCGACTCTGGGGTTGCGGCGCTCATCTCGCTTTATTGGCCAAGGGAACCGGCGTGCAGCTTCCGGGTCATGTGGCCAGCATGACTAAGCCGCTTCTGGCGAACCAGAGCAGCGCATGGAAACGCCGTTTACCTTCCCACCAGAGCAGTACTTATTTATCTACTTGCACATTGACGTCCTTTCGAACTGCTAGGTTGGCTGGAGCAGGGACTGAGCAACGGGAGCTCACCCCATCGCGGGGATTCGAACTGCCAACCTTCTGAT